CTCGGCCTTAATCTGGCAGCGTGCAGAGGAGCTTCGATATACCCATACCGAAGCGGTGGGTCCTTCCTCCGGGAGAGTTGTCCGTGGAAGCCCCCCAGGCAAAAAAACACATGTATACATGGACAATGGGATCATGCACGGCGGTGGAAAGACAACCCCAACGACGCGATGCCGCCAATCAGAAGGATATTACGCCAGGAGTGGAGGTGGTGCCGGTTACTCTAGCACGTGCGGTTTAAGGGAAATATCGGCCACATCCTTAGGCGATTGTTACGGGTATGGTGCCGAAGGACACGGGGATCTCTCATACTCGGCGATCGGAGACAACTCCCCGAATGAAGTTGATCTTTCCGTTGGCGCGAGTACGCGAGGAGGCAGAGACCCTTCTCGTCGGGCGGCGACCAGGTTGAATACTGTTTGGGCGCACACGGACTCAGGGCCGCGTGCGGACAATGCCAGCAGGAGGAGGAGCCTGCATCAGACGCTAGCGATATCGCGACGATCATGGCAGCTGCAGCAGCAACGCTTGCCACGCACTGCGCCCATGAACACCGACAACAGGAGTTTCATGCGTTCGTCATCGTCACCCTCACGCCGCAAGGTTGTGTCCACCTCGGACGGATCGAGACCCATCAACGGAGCAAAGACCCATAGTCACCAGGAGGTGCCGGGTCAAAACGTGGCTGTCAAGCCGTTCGCAGGCCGTCGACCAGTAAGTGCGCCCGCTGCCATGGCAGCAGCCCACTCAGCTGGGAAGGAAAGGAAGCTGGCGACTGCACCCACTCACACCGGTGCTGGGTCTGCCCGCCAAGAATTGCACCATACAGTCCCGAATACAGATACAGCGTGCCATGAGTGTGTAAGGTCGCCGTTGCATCAGTGGAACAGGACAATGTTTCCTGCACAACATTATGCTGGGAGTTGGGGAGCGAAGGCAATGACGGTGGGAGAAACAAGTGAGGAAATTGTACATGAGGCGGCGAGACCTGAAGCGACATGCGCAGCTCACTTGCTGGATGATGGGGAAACGAACTGGATTCGGACAGAGACTGCGTCAGCAAAACGCAAGGCGTCAAAGTACCAGACGTGCATGCTCGAGGCACAGGTACGAACCATCAGCAATATGGGATCGCTTTAACAACATAATTGTTGCATGGTACTGTATCTTGTTAGGTGAGAAGCGACAAACAACACAGGCCGTCGTTTAACATAACGCACTCCTGATTTGGCACAAAGCGAAGCCCTAACACGCACCAAACGGAGAGTGCACTGACTCGGTAGCTCACCGATAGGAGACTCCACTCAACCCTGTGCTTGTGGTCGCTCTGTAGACTACGGCGGTCGTGGCACGGACCTGATGATGTCGAAAAAATGACCACGTGTAATAAGGAACCAAATCACCCGTTACATTTGTTTAGCCGTGGTCTTGCAATCTTATTTTCCGGTGGCCCACTCATTTCAACTCCGCCTAGGGCTAATAACGAAGACTTACTTTGCACGAGACCCACTGGCGTTTCTTGCAACATTGTTTTCCTTTGGCGAAAGTGGTCAAGGGGCGTGTTCTTTCGATCTTGCGACCGTGATACTGTCTACCAATGGTGCGGACGTAGTGCGAATGAACCTGAAACAAATCCACGGACGACATCGCGCGCTAATTCCCGGTGCCCCTGAACAAACGAATCTTCTACGACGCAAAAGTGTGCCCTGGGCAAGGAGCAGCAACGCATACTGACTGTCGAAAATCGAGCGTTAGAAGTCGAGGAGCAACTACTACAACGAGATAGAACTAGGATCCGACAGGCGGCACGAGCAAGGTAAGAACGCAATTTCAACGGGCATGGAGGTTGATGACACCGGATGTGCGTGTGAGAATCAATATTAAAAAAATATATATTGAGGTGTAACCGACGTCGACGAATAATTCACACGATCGCGTCTGGAACTTGAATTTGGATGGTTGATTCTACGAAGTTGGTTACACCGGAGGTGAGCGTGAAAATACACCCGTGGCATCACACCATCGAGTTTCGCCGATTACCAGGACACGACTGCTTGAGCTGGAGATGGAGAAGGCGAGGACATACAAGAGGATAGCGTCCAAAAGAAAGAAAAAAACGATTGAAGCAAACGCCGCAACAAAACTTCAATGTACAGCGAAGGGGTTCCTTCAGCGCCGGTACTTTGAGGTATGCCCAGGGTCGCGGTCCAACCTGCGTTTTTGGTCGTGACGCTTGCAACATGTGAATCCGCTAGAGAATGTGATTTCCACCTCCACTCCCATCCAATAGCCTTGTCGTGCGCATCTCGCCAAGTTGTTCTGCCTACACCACGATCTCCAAACATGCATCCTGTTCCCTCGCGCCGGACACATACTATTTCTCCGAACGAACTTCAATGTCCCAAGAGCACGTTTCCCTGTGGAGTTGAAATTCGGCAATTTCCACTCCTCGTAGCTCCCACATGGCGTGCTGTGTACTTGCGAATAAGGGACTATGCGTATGCACATTAGGTGGGATCGTAAACCCCTGATAATTTTCGAAACAGCTCTAGGGCTAATTGGTTAAACTATTGCTGACGAATGCTCTGCTAGAAAAGTGCCAATACATGTTGGAGGTGGCGGTTGCAGCATGTTGCATTTGCGCCACTGTCGTGGAACATCCAGCGAATCTGACGTAGGACCCCGATTTATGGGAACAAAATCTTGTTTGGGCAAATCATGTCTTTTTCGGCCTTTTGGGCAGTCTGCTTCCCGAACGAATGCGAATCAGCTGTTCCACCTTCGAGAAGAGTCATGGCTTTGGCTGAGATGTCTACAGATTGCCTATTTGTTTCGCAAGGGTCCCCGTTTGATTTTTTCAAAATGTGCAATTTTCACGCAAGATCCTTCCAAAACCAGCATTTTTCCAAATCTTGGCAAATCTTGCTCGGAGTTGGCTATTCGGCCCAATCTTGGACGAGTTTGCAAATCTTGCCCTGCTGGAAAAAACTTAAACGTGGACCCTGGCGAAACAAATAGGCCATCTGTAGACATCTCAACCAAAGCTGTGACTTTTCTCGAGGGTCGAACAGCTGATTTGCATTCGTTCGCGACGCAGGCTGCCCAAAAGGTCGAAAAAGGCAAGATTTGCCCAAAGGAAGATTTGCTCCCCATAAAGATGGGTGTAACGGAATGTGCGTATGCCGCCGCGGAAATGGATTCCGCGAGGGGGGGCTGCTGATGATTCACCCCATCCTGACATTTTCGATGCTTCAACTCACGGCGATTACCGCCAACGATCCCAGGCGGAGATGCTAAATGTCCGGGCACTGCAACAAGGCGCTCGCAGTATGCTCCAAGCCAGGCGAAGACATCACTACCGTGCCAACGTCTTGCTGATAGCGTTGATGTTACAGAAGATGTGGAGGGGTAGGTAAGAAATGCAGCTCCGGATCTGAAGCTCAACGTAGATCCTACTCCTGACCCCTTGGGCCAGCGGGTGCACACTCCACGTCCTATTCCCGCCTGTCGAATACAGCATTGTAGGTTGTTACAGATCCGTCCGTATCAAAACGTGCCAGATGGCAGAGTAAATGATGCACCTCTATCTTCAGCAGGCGCGTGGATACTCTTATGTCGCACGTGTTTGGAGCCCCTGCATTGTCTGTGTTTCCCTTTGACCTTCATATGTACCTGCGGAAGTCGTCGGATCAGGCTTAGTCTGTTGTATATCAATGCCAACCTCGTCTAACCCATTCGAATGAAAGTGAACGGCGACAAGCATTTGTTGTTCCGTTCTATAGTATCTCAGCTGCATTTCCGAGCAAGATTGTAAGAGCAGCTAAAGTCAACCCCACTGAAGATAGCGGCACTTGGCTAGAAAAAAAACTCATTGGGGAAACCAAGGGAAACCACCCGCTGATTGACTACCCTTGCCCTGGGTCGCCTGTACACACAGCTCTGCCAATCCCAAAATGCTCCTGCCAAATCCCAGGTCAACCCGACAACGACTAGCAGTCCATCGGGTGCGAGCAACATTGGTGCAGGCCATCGTGCGCGGACACTTGCAGCGGAAGAGGGTATACGACGAGCTCGTAGCTCACCTCAGGTGAACACGGTGCTAAGGAACACCTTTACGCTTTCATCGGAGGCCATCAAAAAGTACGGCGTACGGAGCAACCAAATTTGTCGGCTGCCCGTTTGCCGAGCTGTTGGCGAGCTGTCCGCGTGCCCTTGCTCTCGTGTAAGAGCAGGAATCCCTCCGAACTTGGTTGGTTCTCTCTTGTATGGTCACCCATTTTGTCTTTCACACAAAATCCGCACGCCAGCCCGATACTAATCCGAACCAGAAACGTTGGCCAACAGTCCTATAGTCCTGGTCCTATTGCAACTGCGACAGCCATGGCATTTGCAAAGTTCAGGTTTGCTACGGAACTACAAAGTACAACCACGAGAATTCACTGATGACGGCATCCCTCTTGCCTTAACCAAACATTGTGGCATTTGAATGTTACAGTGACTGGATCCATGTAGATTCACACAACAACAATTGGCAATCACCTGCCTACTTCCTCACGCTCCCCCCTCAATTGCCGCACCCTAAAAAGCACTCGCTCCCCCAACCAGTCCTCTGTTCTGTCGGGTTCGAGGAAATCATGTTCCACTACATGGAGTGAAGTCGTGTTCGGATGTCGTTCATGAAGGGGCGGTATGATCCGGCATCAATCCTAAGGGTTTGAGGGTTACCCTCCTCTACGCGTGTTAAATCTTATCCCAGCCTAGCAGCAAGCACGAGTTAAGCGCTACATCCTTCACAATTTACTCCCGTCTACGCACGCAACACCAATGGGTGGTTGAGCGACTTGGAACCCTCCTGCACGCCGGTGGGGGGAGACTTATTGCGACGGCATTGAGCACTATCTGGTAGATGAAGAGCACTACCCACGACTTTGAAAATGATTAGCGGCTCCTTCTGAGAATGTTGAATTCATGCTTTCGTCGTTCTGCCTGCCTCTACTGTACAATGAAAATTAATAGGTGTAGGCGTGAAGCGGCCACGACGCTTCAGAAATATCGACGACGTCTTGCGCTGCGGCGGGCTTACGTGTTGCTGCGCTCAGCTTCGGTGAAGGTTGAAGCCAACTACCGGAGATGGCGCGCTCAACGCAACTGTTTCCAGCGGAGGCTTGCTGTTGGGATACTACAGGTGCTGGTGTCATTTCTACCGTTAAGTGGTGTTGAATATCATATCGCATGCAGTCTTGCGAGTGATTTGCCTCTCAGTACCCCTCTCGTATATATATATGAACGGAATAAACTCTTGTCATCACACACACATGCTCTCGAGCACCTATCTCCAATTTACCTACTTCCGTCTCGATGGCTACCCCACGACAATCTGCACCGGGGGAAGTCCAGGTCGGTCGCGAATGACAACATGCCATATTGGGCAGAGGGTCGGAGCGGGGGCACGGGGGTTGGAGTGCACTTCAGTACACCGAGGTTTTTGATGGTGCATTCCCACCACCACAAATGTAGACAAGCAGCATGAGGAAAACCTTCGCCACGTTCTGCACCCCTCTCCTCCCCACTGGCTGTCTCCGCTCATAAAACGCACAATTTTCTGACAGGAAGCGGCGAGGCGGTTCGTTTTTAATACACGTCGGAGGAGGGCTGCCAATCTCCTTCAGAGCGCATACCGCTCCAGTGTACGGGTCAAGCACTGCCGCAAGGAAAGGAAGAAGATCCTCGACGCTGCGAACGTCCTTCAGCGCTCGGCCAGGGCCTGGGTGGCGCGCCGGGTGGTAGGGCAGAGGCGGAAAGTCCGGCGACAGAATCGGGCAGCCGCGACCCTACAGTATGCGATGTGGAGACACCTGTTGAGGCGCAAGAAGCACCGTCAACACGTCGCCGCGGCCCTCACCCTCTGGAAGTTCATGGGAGGGCTCTCGGTGACGTTGTCGGCAATAAGGAAGAGACGGAAGTCAGCGGCCGCTACCAGAATTCAGGCGGTTGCTCGCCAGTATATCTCCCTGGTGAAGACAAGGGCGATATTGGACATGCATCGGAAAGAACGCGCGGCTGCCACAAGGATTCAGGCAGCTTGCCGCGGCCGGCGATGTCGCATACACTTGAGCACACTTCTATTGGAACAGGACGAATGCCATGCAGCCACAATGATTCAGGCCGCGTACCGGGGGCACAAATCTAGAGTGAAAACGATCCAGCATCGCGCATGCGCTGTGAAGATACAGATCTTCTTGCTCCAGCAACGGAGGAAAGCCAGATTTGCTTCCCGGTGTGAACGTGAGCGAGAACAAGGCGCTTTAGTTCTGCAGCGAGCTTGGAGATGGAGGATAATCGGTCAAGACGCAAAGACGCAGGACGAGCCCACTACCACCAGCGAACAGCGACGATCGTCATTGGCGACATCACCACGTCCGGAACCGCTGCGCGCCGTGGATCGCGCCAACGTCCAGCTGGCGGTTGAAGCTCTCGCGAAGGGCATGCGGAGGCGCGGAGTTCTGGATCCGATCATCGCCGATAATCTTAGCGACACGCTAGCCCTCGGCCAGGACGACCCCGTGCTGGAAGTCGCCCTACGACAAGGACTGTCAAACCTCGAGCAAGCTTTGGCTAGGTCGACCGGGACCGTTTCGACCAATACAGGACTCAAACGGATGACGGATGAAAGTGTAGCGGTGTTGTGGGGAGGAATGGATGCCTCTCTGCCACACAGTTTGGAAGAGCTGGAACAGGGCTTGCTGAGGCTGAGACCATCGGATTGAGGATGTTAGAAGTGGGGGTTCCTCCCTTGTGTAGTCGGTATTCGTCATGAAAGTCAACGTAATAGGCCGAACTGTCCTGTGCATCGTGTTCGACACAAGACTTGAGTCTACATCCAACGAGATAATTTGTCTTCGGTGACACACAATGTGTCGGAGAGCACTAACAATGACTCTACGCACCCTCAACACAGATACACTCGGAACTCACTCCGACTAGACCCCGCAATCTACATGGTTGCCTGACAGCCTTCCATGCAGGCGGCCGCAGTAACACCATGTCCTTGACCTGCTGTGCACATTTCAGAGTCTTGAAGACACCTTCCCCAAACAAGCATCGCATGCCATGAGTCATTCCGGCGATCACGACAACCGACGTCGGGAGGTCAGCAACTCCCTCTCTGCCAATTTTTCGTTCTCTCCCTCGCCTCAGCCAATGTGTGAAAAACCACAAGGGACGGTCGACCCCCGTCTACGAATCGAGCAAAACCCTACTGCGGTCGGCAATGCAGAGTACATTTCGTACTATGGGTGGATACAGCCAAACACACAAGTAGCCGTGCTGGGGCTTGCTATTCTTCGTCACCACGTGCCACCTCGCGATTGGGCGACTGCTCTGCATGTCACCATCATTTCTTCCAACGCGCTTCACCCCCACGCCCGTACCGTTTTAGTGCGCAAACAACCTCACAATAAATGTTCTCAATCAGCACGGTGGAATCTTTCTCACCAAGGAAGCCGCGAAAGGATTGCGGAAAGTTGCTCAAGAAAATCACCGCACCTTTTCATCTACCGAGCCTCTATCTTCACCGCGTTCCACTACACTTGGACGATGTGCCATGTGCGACACCCCCCGGGCAAGAATGGCAAAAGAGCACAACCAGGCAAAAAAAACTAACGGCGCCACGATGTTTAAGCCTCGCACCCGCACGAACCAGAGCGACCCAGGGCTATGGGCGCCCCGACAGGTTTGTTTCACAACGAACCACGACCGTCACGTTGCACAGTCATCGCCGCTGTGCTGCGTGTGTACGCCCATGTGTTTTAAGTAAGCGCGCCGCCATTCCAACGTCAGGCATTGCGCCGTCGAGCACTGAAGTCCCTCTGGGACGTGGCCGCAGCATCACACGTTTCATATTCCCCATATATGGTAAGTGCCTTTTCCATGCCGCTGCAGTCCAGCGCATTCCGAGCTTTGAGCTGACCGGCCGAAGCAGTCACCGCCCGCCCGCCGCCCGTACGCAAGGCTTCCGCAACGAAGGTAGGACTATCGTGTCATGCGACCGAAGACCGTTGCTTCCCGCAGTGGGTGACACTATACTTCAAATCTGATAGGGCATGTAGCGTTGCATAGATACCATAAGGAGAGTGTCCTCTTAGACTTGGCATGTTCGAAGGCTGAGCCCGTAGGGTCTGGCCACGGACGGCTTTTCAGTCTCGTTTGGCTTTTGATTCTCGTTTGGAGCGGTAGCAGTATTCGAGCTTCTTCTCCTCTCCGATCGAGTGTATTCGCCTGTTGCATGGTCATGTTCAGATTGTTCCGCTCTTCAAAGGCGGGGCTGCAAGTCGCCAGACTCAGGGTGTCCCTCATAAGTTCCATTGAAGGTGTCGGCAACAGTATTTGTAGCATGAACGCTTAAATATGTAGATTCGTCTGATCACTCACGGCGGAATGCCTTCGTCCCATGTTTTGCCCTTCAAGCGTTCTGCCTGTCGTTTAGCCCTTTCCTCGTCCTTTCTATTCTTTGCAATCCGAGAGAACGGCTCCCCATGCACCTTTCACGAGGAAAGCATCAATAAACACAGCAATGGGACAAGTGGGGCATCCTCGTGAGCGGAGATAAGGCAAGTGCGGATGGCCCAACTACCACATAGAAGTACCAGGTACTTCAACACATTATCCAGCTCAAGAGCGGTGTGAACTAACGATTGACAAATGACGAGGACGCATCAAAACCAAACGCACCACCCATCCGCGTGTTTGTGGACCCACCACCATCATCTATGGAATGTGATGATTGTGGTGTCAAACCTCGGTTCGGTCCAGTGAAAAGTACATTGCATGAGAGTATCTGATGTGAATGAACGTGTATTACCTTTGGATACAGGTAAAGACTGGTGGCCTATTGGCAGTCTATTTTCTACATCTATGTCTCGACAAAGTAAATACGAGGAGGGGTAGAACGTACAGTAGGGGCGGGAAGTATTATGCATAGGGGCCAACCGTGAACATCATGCAGCAACTACACAGCAATTCCGGGCTACAAGAAGACAACGGATGCACAAGAAAGAAGTATGCATGCATAGGATACCGTAGAGAGAGCCAATAGAGTACCTTGGGTTTCTTCTTCTTGCCCGCGCCAGGTACCTTGGTGCTTCGAGTAATAGGCCTAGGACGCAGCCCAGAGAAGCCCCCCTTTCGGCCCTTGCAACAAGGACTTGAACTGGCTATGCCACGCGTACTTGCTGTTGTCAACAATCGCGCCACGGGTGTTGAGGGGTATAAGCAACGAAGGACCTGGGAAGCCCGATGCATTGGAGACCCTGTTACGTGTGTCTGTGATGAATAGGGGAAAGTCAAGTGGGAAGCAGTGAGAGGGGAGTCAAGATTCAAGTCAAGTACATTAGGGGGCACATGGAGGAGATACTATGGTATTAGGCATACGTGTACCCTGTCGACATGGTCGCGTCACGGAGCCCCTGGTCTCCCCACGTCCCCACGTCCCACGAACAGGTTCGAATCTTCTGATGCCCTAGATTCCTTTGTGCAGGAGTCTCGACCCCTGCTGAATATCCTGCCTCCCTTCCTACACGGCGCTGCTGCTGTTGTTTAACGCGCGCGTTCGGATCAGCCTGTTTTACCGGCGGTGAACAGGTCAAGAGCAGGTGAGAAAACCAAGATGCACCTAACCAAGCAACGTGTGTGCAGGCTATAGCTACACAGCTTGCTGGCGTAGGCGTGAGAACAAGCCTGTTGCAGCGATGTGCGTTAGAAAACCCCTTGCCGCCAAGGTGTGCTTTCCTCCCCCTCCCGGTCTCCATCCTGTGACTGTTGTTGGTGCTGTGCCTGCGGTGTCCCGAGAAGCTCCTTGGATGGTTCCGTTCAGTCTGGAGTGCCTCGATCTGCCCCTCTTGTGCATCTGGGAGAGAGAAACAGCTGACGCGCACAACCCAGCATCAGCCAGCATTTGAAAATCCCACACCGAGCACAGCGGGCAGCTGAAGTCTCTACATGTAGTCTAGGGGGCAACTATTCACAGCGATCAGCACAGCAGCTACTATACTTCCTCGCTGCCCGCCGAATTTCGGAGTACCAGCTCTCGCGACGGGGAACATCTTTGCTGGAAAATTCGTTTTGCAGGCGTTGGTGTACACGCTCCCTCACAGGGATATGTTGGTGTAATGCTGTGTGTGAGATGACCTGCCCCCCCCATCATTTGGTCTCGTCAAAACACACAAGAGTAGAGAATAGAGAGAGGTTCCAAACTCGGGACTAGTGAGGGATCCAAGCAGACGATGCAGCCGTTCAGACCAGCAGCCTGCTGAGTATATCCGCATGCATGTATTAAGGGAAAATGAATACACACACAGAAAGACTACCCATTCGAGATATACCCACAGTCGAAGCTACATGACATGGTCAACCATGCGCTCTGCTTGAGCAGTGTCATTCCAGCGTGTTGTCTAGAGTCCAAGGGCCGGACTCAACGAGAGTGGGCGTTGATCTGTGTGGCACTGAAAGTTCAATGACGCCGCAAAACATGATTATTGAGGATTGAGCAACCAGCTATTTAGATTGAGCGCACAGAATATTTGCGACAGACCCTTTCCAATTGCATAAACTTGGTGTAGTCTTTCTGTGTGTGTATTTATTTTTCTTCAGCAGTTGTATGAACCTGGAAGCATCACTGCTGTCATACAACCTTCCTGCCTTCAGAGGTCGCACGCCACACACCCTTGGACCGGACTTCAAGGTCCGACTAATCCACCACAAAAGAGGATCCTAAAATCAAGTAGTACTTGTTTTCGAAAAGGCTCCAGACGAGGCGGTTCACAAACGCCGCCAGTTTTGGGCACCGTCGTCACTGCTTTCGCTTCGCAGAGCAGGCGAGCTCTCGAAGAATCGATGTACAGGGGGTATGGTGTCTTGCGCGACCTTCCACATGCGTATGCAAAATATTTACGTTTTAGTGTAGGGATTCTTAACCCTCGGATACCCCAGCTACAGCAGTAAGAGCTTACTAGGCCCAGACAAAATCCCATCCGCTTATTGGGGGAGGCTGTACAGTCCCGAGGGACGAAGGATGACTTGGTTTTAGACAGAAAAGTGTCCCCAAATGCATGGGAGACACTGGAGCCAAGTCAGTAAATTTTCCTGTTCTAATTTAGGGCATATGTGTACAGCAGGTCAGACGCCGAGGAGAGGCATCACTCAGACTCAGTAACAGCTTACCTCAAGCATGGCCGACCAAGGTTTACCACGTCCGGTACAGCGGAGTTGATGAGGGCAAGTGTGCGGTAAACAGAGATCTGAGTGCTGTGTCCCCAAATTGTCTCCATTTTTGCGTCCACTACTGCAAGGGTGAACCGAACTCACAAATGGTGCTCAAGTTCTTGCCATGTTTTTTAGTGGTACGATGTTGAGCAGGGAAGTCTTAGCTACCAAGTTCTTAAGCGCGGTCACTGTTGTACACTATCTTACAAGTGTAGACGGTTTGCTGTTGAGTGGTAGTTCCAGCGGGACGGAGGGGGCGGCATGAGACGATGCGTAAAACGGTACGCAAGGCCCACCAACAAATCGCAACACCGACCGGGAGAGCAACTCTCCCACAAATGAAACTGCAGGATGCGGAAACTCGGGTGGCGTTGATGCCGCCAAGTCAGCGAAGGACAGCCAATGCTCTACTGCGTTCTCGCGAAAGCAGAGCATCCGAGCAGCCCGAAAGGAGGGGACAGCAGTTGACCCCCCCGTGCAGGCCCTCGCCCCCCCAAAAAAAATGAAACAGCGAAGAACGATGGACCTTTGATTGGTTATATCTCGAACGGACAGCAATCTTTCATTTGACCGTTTCGTAATTTTCTAAAAAAATGCACTCTTATACAATTACTATCTGTATCCTGTGCTTGGGCTCTCGCCGCCGAACAACACACCCAGGTGCTCTACGGTTTTCCGCCGTACTTCGGTGTTTCGAGAGAAAAACGTCGTGCACCATAGGTCTCACGTACGTCCTGCCGGCGCAGGAGGGTACCAGCGGCGGTGCTTTCACCACCACCACCACCACCACCACCACCATCGCTGTGGGTGTTTCGGCGCGAACAGCAAGCTGCGGCAGCTGCAGCACCATTCTCGACGCCAGGGGCAAGAAGCGCGGTAGGGGAGCATGGAGCGCAACTAGCGCGGCGAAAGATAGCGGGGACAGCGACTCCGGGGGGGGTTCCGGCGATGAACGCGAAGACCGTTCGTCCTCCTCCTCCCGCCCCAAGAAGCGCTTCGTTTGGCCCGAGGTGCAGAACACAGATCGCGCCACCCACCACTTACTGCCGTGAACGTCTTGTTTGTGGCCGAGGTGATGGTGTGTGGGGTACCCCCACGGCGACTACAGCAGTGGGGGGGGCGGTTTGGCGACCCCTATTGTCACGACGCAATGTGGCCGCTAATGAGGAGGGCAGGTCGCTCAACCGAACTACCAAATATATTGCAGTTGTACTACCGGGGTGCGGCGGTGCGACGTGATTTTGTGGTCGCTAAACAGGGCATTCCGGTAAACACGGCATTCCGCCAAACAGGGCGTCGCTAAACCGGCCCCCCTACGGTATGTAGTTTTTTTGTGTGGCCTCTTGACCGAGAATTGTGCCCGGCTGTGATACCAAAGTCCACCGCTTGCGCTCACCCGTGCAGGAGCTACACCGAGACTTCATCGCTGCTGTGTTCGACATGGGGCTCAAGAAGGCCGAGCCGTCCCGCTTGAAGGACCTGCTGCCCAAGAAGGACAGGTAGGTCTTTCGGTGTTGACTGGTGTTGACACCACTCTCTGGAGTACATGGCTCCTCTTGTGCCCCGTGTCTTGTTGTGTATTGACGGTTGGTCTTGCTACCCGCCGGCTGCTACTGCTGTGCTTGTGCTCTTTGTCTCTTGTTGTGTTTTGACGGTTGGTCTTGCTACCCTCCGGCTGCTGCTGTACATGACTCCTCTCTTTCTCTTGTTTCTTGTGTTTGCGGGTTTCACGGTTAGCCTTGCTGCAGTACCCGCCTGCTGCTGAACCTGTACCTCATTTTTCTGCTCTTGCTCTTGCTTTTCTGCGGCTGACTTCTGCCCTTGTTTTTACTGTTTCCTTGTTTCGTCAGGTCAATAGAGGCCGATGTGATGAGCAGCCACATCCAGAAGCTGCGGAGCTTTCGGTACCAGATGAAGAACACCTTAGCCGGAGACAACCTCGACACCGCGGAGGAGCTAGCGCAGAAGGGGATACTCTCGAACGGGGAACTAGGCATGAGCCTAGAGCACCGCCGCGACGGGTCCATGTCGTTGACAAGGTCTGCGGGGGGTGTTGGTACGAGATTCAGTTTGCTGTTGTTGTTGCTGTTGTTGTCGGCGGTGCTGTGGCTGTTGTTGTTGTTGTTGTTGTTGTCATGGTTGTGATTTGTTACTACTTGTTTTTGTTGTTGTTGTTGGCGTTGTTGCCTTCGTTTTAGAAACCATTCCGGTCTCTGTTCAGTACCTTCCATCATCCTTTTCGTCTAAATGACGCGGACGAGTTCCGTGATCACAGGCCAACTACCCAATAATGTATGTACAACGTTCGGATGTCGTGTGTCAAGGGAAGGCAAAGAGCTCATCCTGGGCCTACGTTGCCGTGTTCTCCTCCATGATCCTACGGTGTGACGCTGGTCCGTCCGCTCACCGCACGTTGCCACGGTCGTTCCCTGTCGCACAGAGGGCTTTCGGAGAATGGGGACGGGGTTCACATGGCGGCACCCGACCAGATAAAGGAGGCCTTCGGTGTCCCGAGGGACTTGGCCAGCGCCATCGACCGTCTTGATGGCCCGCAGTCCATGAAGAGGAGCGTGGAGCTCATGGGGCAGTGCGTGCAGGTATGATATGTTGTGCCTGAGAATAGGCGTTTGTGCCTTGTAATTTTGTTGTCGATTTGGGTTATTTACAAGAAAAGTTAGATTGTACATATCTTAATCGCAAGAAATTACCTACCGAGCTTAAGCCTGCGTGAAAAAGGCCGCACTATGCGCCGCTCTCTTGTCTCGAGAGGCGTGACATTCCAGTTGGGTCAAAACGAGTGATGTGACGGGAAATTTCTCCCCCCAAAATTGGCCCCATGAGAGGCGGGTTCCTTATGAATGGGTAGGTTTGTGTCTGGGGGGTGACGTTTCCCCCCCCCCTCTGTAGGGCTTATGTTGAGTGGCAGGGTTGCGTCTAGCGGCGGGTGGTGTAGGACTGGGAACGAAGGTGTCGTCCGGCGAGGAGCTGGATGTCATCCAAGGTTCGAGAAACCTAACTCGAAACCTTGACTGCACGTCGTCTCGTGGGGGAGTGTCCTTGTAGCCGCGCTTGCCGTAGTCGTTGGACCATTTTCCTCGTATCCCTACCAAGCCGGGATGGAGCACAGACATGGGGGGGGTTGCAAAGGTCCACAAGGACGCGTCGATATACGTAGATGAGGTGCAGTTCAGATGTTTAGCTCAAGCTTGGCCTCGCCTTTGCGGATACTTTCAGGCCTTCGGGAATGTTGTGGTTTGCTTTTTGGTTTTCTCGGGCTTCTCGAAGATTTCTTGAATACCATTGAGCTGGCATGGGCCACCGTGCGCGCCAGCGCGACTAGGTTCTGCGGTGATTCGTTTCGAAGGTTACACTTGGGTGGTTCGAAGCGATTATTCAGCTGTAACTGGAGGCGTGCTGAGTTAAAAAAGCACTGCAGTGTCTAGCTCGAGAAGTTGTCCTTAGTGCCGCCGGGTTGTTGCGCGAACGGTCTCTCTCGACATGCGTGATTGGCTCTTTGGTATTCCCTCTCGTCCTCGTGCATGGTGAACAGGATATTATCTTTGGCTGCCAGGATGGGGTGGCGTGGCGTGGCATAGGGTTAGGTTATAATTTTTCATACGTTTACAATCAGAGTGAATGGGTCAATTATTTGACTGCCAGCATGGCATGGCATGGCATAGCTCATGGTGGTATTCGACCACGGCATGTTCTTTTACTGGCATTGCACCGCGATCTCATCGCAAACGAACGGCAGGCAGTGTGGCGCACTTCACTTCAACTCTAACTCTCGGCGGTTTCTCATGCTTCGAAGTACCATTTTTTTGTATGCCGCCTTGCAGAATCACTTGTTCATCAGCGCATATGTTTTGTGTTCCATATGCATGATAGCCCCTGTGTGTTCCCCTCTCACTCCTGCTTGACCCCGGCTGACGCATGCGTCGAATATTCAGCGGGGGTCTCTCAATACGTAGTACCGGCTGAAAAGTGCCGGTTAAAAATCGCGTGTCATGGATGGAGCATTCAAGCTGTCGCACTCTCTGCGTAGATGTGCCGGGTGCCCGTTATTGTGCCGGTGAATCTGGCGGGCACATACCGGCACTTCTGAGGGACCACCTCTGGATGCGGAAAGGTGTAGACTGGCGCCCAAAGTATATGGGCGAGAACATAACACCTGTGACGTGGCATGTTCAAGCTTGGGTTCTTGTCGTCGCGATGCTTGACAGGTGCAGCGGAGTGCTCACGGGATTATAATGAACGCGATGGAGACACAGCAAGCCCTCAAGACCGCCCTCATGGAGAAGGTATGTGCCTTCGTTGTGCGTGTCGGTTGTGGGTGCCACTGTTGCTCTTGATCCTCTCTACGTACCAACACTTTCTCCGGTCGATTCCCGGTACCGCTTAGCGCGTACACTTTTGACGTCGAGGGCATTGCTCCGTCGATAGCATAGCATAGGAGTATGGAGTATTCGCACCGCCGACACCCATGCGTGGCACATTGCCCAATGATGAAAAAATGAGGTAGTGCTGCACTTTTCCGTGCTGCACAGGGGCACAGAGTGGTTTCACCTGGGTGATGAGTATTCCGACATGTCTTCCTTGACTCTTGAAGTTTTGTGTTCAACTTACGTGTCGCTCGTACGATGCCCTTCCTTTGTAATCGGGGTACAGCAGCACATGGTTGGAACGGAGGCGTGTTTATGGTCGACGTCGACGACGACTTGGAACGTTTCGCGAGTAGATCAATCCAACCAGCTTCTGAACCGTGTGAAGTCAAGGGGTGGGGCGAGCCCCAATTCTACTAGTGTTGCCTACAGTACTCCTATGACGTGATGGCGTTTTTGTGACGGTGATGGGCCGTGGTTACACCCCGTAAGGCGAGTGAAGCGGGAAGATCTCACGTTGTAAATTTTTCGCTCAAGTTTATCGAATACACAACGGAAGGTGCTACCCTCGGCTGACTCTCGGGTGTTGTTGTTTTTGCTGTTGCTGCTGTCGTCACGGACGCAGATGCGATTGGTGGGTTTCCCGGTGGCCAGCAGGCCGGACGCCCGTGGGGCTGCTGCTGCGGCTGCTCCGTCGTTGGGCGAGACTCCAGAAGGCGGTACGTATGCTTCCGTTTGGAGGTTTGTGGCTTTCGCGAGTTTCGGTTTTGCTGCGTGGCGGACCTGATGGGCGTCTCTTGGTGCGTTGTCAAGGTGTGCATGACGACGGCGGTGCCATGACAGCACTCGTAGCCCCCTCGTGGATGTCAGCCACTCCTGTGCCCACGGTAGTCAATATTTTTTTACTGTGATACACCTCGAATAACGCCAAATAATTGTAACAAATATACACGCGTTGCAAAAATGTTGCTTGTTTCGTTTTAGTCGCAACTTCTTTTTCGCCTATCGTATCGCGCGTTCTAGCTTGCCGTTTTTTCCCAGACAATCATGAAGGACTGCTGCAGTCAGTCTTTGCTCTGCTTTTGGCTGCTTCCAAGCTGATCAAAGTTACCCAAGCGTTCAAGAACAAGTTTGATTTGAAACATCTACTCTAGCGCACCGCTCGTCCTCGTAGGCAGCTGTTTTTTGGCACCCTCACCCATTATGTTGTACGATGTGACCAATGGTTCATTACTTTTGAAAGCTCATCAGACCTATGCTCCTTACCAAGGGTAGAGGAGGTCCTCCATTCAAAAAATTGTTTCGTGCACTCTCAAGACATTTTCCTTGACCTTCGAACCCAACCCCAACTCTCTTCAGGTGGCTGTCATTCGACCGCACCCTTGAACGTGTCCGGCGGTGGCGGCACCAGCGGCCTCTGGCCGCAGAACCAGCAGCGGAAATCGTCTCCCTTGGCGTCGCCATGGCCATCCTCGTCTTTGCCGTGTCCGCCTGAGGGCAACGGTGGTCTTGCCGCTTTCCCCGGCAACCGAAAGGTTAGCGCGACGGTTCGTGTCGCCGGCGGCAGCGGCGATAGGGTTCCGATACCGGCACGGCCTGTGGTGAGCGGTCTCAAGTCTCGTATGATGTATCTTGCTACGATTCAGCTGTTGGTTTGCCTGGTTCCCTGGTGGTGGTGTTTCGTCGATTTTTTTTTTTAGGGGGTTTACAAGTACGATTTAGCTCTCGTTGGTATGCTTGGGTTTCCTACTGCCCGGTGATGCTGACATGTGATGGTCTTGTTCTTGTCTCTTGTTTTTACCCTATGTTCTCGCTTTTAGTAGGTGCTTGTCGTTCACGCGTTCTTCCTCCGTTATCAAATGACACCAGCAACCCTATTCCTGCCTCTATGCCCCTCACTCGCGGCGTGTCGGAGGTCCTTATCTGTATCCAAAGCTGGGACCGTGGTCATCAGCCAGAGATCTCCGAAGCAAGCGAAACCAATAAGATGTACTACTATGCGTCCGTGTTTTTCTCAACCAATGATATTGCAAGACATACAGCAATCAGCCTTTTATGTGCGGGCTCGCATCGACAGTCCCGGCTCCTCTTCTATCTACCCAAAAGTGATCGTACGTTTGCCGTACGGCCGTTTTTTTCTAGTACGGGGATCGGTACGTATTCCGTATCAAGCCAAAGATATCGCGCGCTTGCCATACGGTTTTCGTTTTCCAACAGGGGATAGGGACATACGCCGGAGTGGCCAGCATGCTGCAAGCTTCGGCCCAGAGCATGAACGTGGCGAACCCGGTCCCGACCCAGCCTCCAGCAAACGCGCCGACATCGACGAGAGCCGCCATCCCGGGGGGCTCCGCGAACCTTTTTTCCTTCGTGCCCACCCCCCCCGCCGACAAAAACCCGGTGGACAAAACGGCCGCGCCTTCTTCGAGCAACGACCCCGCGACAGAAGCTGCGGCACCGTCAGAGGAAGCCGCGGGGGCGGCGGTAACGCCGGTGGCGATGGGTGCTTCCGACGGGGGGGGGGGTCCAAGCGGCGGTGCCCCCCGAGAAGGAGGGGGGTACTTCGGGCTAGGGTTGGAAACCGGGGACTACTGGGAGACGGACATGTTGGACGTGGGCAACGTCGCGGCGGAGGCGCTGGACGAGACCAGCCTGAGAATGGAGATGCAGTCGAGCATGGACATCCACAGAGTGATGCGGGCCAGGCAAAAGGTTCGTGCGTGATCATGTTGCCGTTCGTTGGTGTTGTCGGGTTTGGCCCGTTGTCGAAGACTCCGTGCATGGCTCAGGATTCGCAGGCTAGGCAGATCTGTTGTGTGCACCAAAGGTAGGCATTACTCGACTCGACAAGTATCACGCGTAAAGGGTATCACCAATGGGCATTTGCCTGCAAAGATGGCGACCACCAAGTGCGAAATCGAAAGAATGCAATGGAGAAAAATGTGAAGTACAACTTAATCGTGAAAAACTAAGATCGTCGTTGTACGACAGCAGTATAGTGTGTAGTAGTAGCGCTCCAGGGCTAACCACGCACAACGTTTTTTTCGTGTGGGACAGCAGTTTTTTTCCTTGCACGAAGGATTTGCATACAGCGGGGGGGGGGCGTGTAGCGACCCCTACTGCAGTGTCACGACGAAATGTGGGCGCTCTTCAGGGCAGGTCGCTGAACCGAACTACCAATTATATGTCAGTTTCAGTTTTGCTACCGAGGTGTGGAGGTGCGACGTGGTTTTGTGGTGGTTAACAGGGGTTGCTATAACCGGGCCCCCTACTTGTGGCTTAAAGGGTACACCAAGCTTTTGTCGTCTTGCCATGGTTGGGTTTGGCCGAAATCTTCGTCGCTACGGGGTTTGCGAAGGGAGCAGGGAGGGTCAACGTCTTGTCTTCCGTGGTTCGCTTGACTCTAAAACGTTTCAGCGGTAGTGGTCTGTCCGGTGCGGTGAGTTCCGGTTGGCTGACTGTTTCCCACCGTCCTCGTGGATGCTGCCCCACGGCGACGACTCTTTTTTTTCATGACTTTTTATTTTAACACGCAGTCTTTCTGCCGTGTAGGAGCGCTCCAACCCGTGGTCACATCACACAGAAGGCTCTCCTCCCCCCAAGGCCCCCTATCCACCCCTCCTGCAGTGCTTGCCTTCGAGATTCAACATTTTATTTATTTTTTCAGCCTTTTGCGTGTGCCTTCCTTGCTGTCTGCAGAACCAGTTGCAGCTGCACGCACAGCAAGAGCAACGGCAGGGGCTCCAAGAAGGGGGAGGGACCAACGCCGACGGCGACGTGGGAGATGCCCACGGCGCTACCGCCAACGTTGCTGGTAATAGTAGCGCCGACGGGTTCGCGCTTCCCGCTCCAAGGATACCTCCAGGCGAAGACAACAGCAGCGGTTCTACTACAGGGTCGGGGCCTACAGGCACGGTGAGTTTATGTAGTTGGGTCTCTTGCTGCAAGATTTTTCGTCTGTTGCTGTTTTTATGTTGTGCATTTCTCTTGTTGCTGCTGTTTGATACCAGGTTTTGTACTGTTTGGCGTGGCACGTATCGTACACAGCGGTGCCCCCACGTCGACCGAGACTGATAAAAGACAACTTGTTTGTTCGCCGAACTCGTGCATTATCCCGAACAAACCCTCAGTCATTTCCGACGAGAAGAACGAGTGTATTGTAGGTCTTTTGCGTGTGGGCCAGCGTAGACACGCTCAATTCGCTTCTCCCCCAGCGATGTCGCTCTTGTCTTCTGTCGTCTCGAGGCCCAGTCAGTCTACGGCGACCTGCTCCTATGCACCCCTAACCCCGTGTCATCGATCGCTTTTCCGTCCGTGAACCCCTGTCGTATGCCATGCGCCCAGGCACCCGCAACAAACGTGGAAGCGGACGGCGGCCCTGCGTTCGGCGTCAACTCTACTTCTGGTGGCGGTGCAACTAACACCGCAAAGGCAAGAACAGGGGATGGCCCGCTGCCAGCCCCCCCACCAGACAACGGCACCGCCGCAACGCATGGAGCGGAAGCACTCGGTAGCGGCAACGGCATGATGACGTCACAGCAGTACGGGGTGTCTTTGCCTCGGAGTGACGGAGATACCCCGACCTTGATGAACGCCGACTGGAACTGGGACGAGGATAAGTTGGACGCGCAGCTGTTCAGTTTCCTGCTGGACACCCCGCAGTCCGGGTAGCATTTTTTTTTTTTACACGACTGCTGGGTATCAATCAGCGCTCACACATTTTTCTGCCGGGTTCGCATGTTGTTATTTTGATATTATTTAGTCGCCCGAGTCAAGCGTGTCTGTAGAGTTGTTGACTGGAAGCAAGCTTGGGCGAGACAGAGGCCAACTGAAAGACGTGTCGTATCTACCGTGTACCATATCTACTCTGGGGGCGTCCACTTCTTCTGTACAGAACAGGCCGTTGATTTATCAACGCCAAACTCGGTGAAGGCTCAGCTTTAGATTTCATCATTTCATTCACCGTCAAGGGCAGCAGGTCATCATGGTAGATTTTAGTGTAGATTCGCTGCCGTCCTTGCTTCTCATGTTTCGTGAAATTGGAGCTTTTATATCTGAACGGGTTTTACCGGACGAGTCCGGTAACTGGGGTGGATGCGACTGACCTTGTTCATGGCGAATTTGGCGCGCTTGAAAATAGGGTTCACAACTTGTCAAATGTTGTCTCTCCTCCAATGACGCGGTGTGAAGACGTTTGGCCGACCTTTATGGCGGATTGCGTTGGAAAGCTTTTCGTAATAATCTAAGGGCTGTGTTTTCTTTCCTGCTGACACAATACTATAGGGGAATAGAGGACGATACATGAAATGATGGTAGGCTGGATCTAAGCAGCGAACATCGGTATGCTTTTTTTGTTTGTTGTGGAGTCAGAATCCCTTGCGTCGTCCGTGTTGTTCCGGTTGCTAGGTTTTGATTGCGTGCTTCTCACGCAAAATATTTGGAGTCCGATAGCTCGAAGTCGGCCATTGAATCTTGTTGATACGTTTTCTATCTCGATGTTGCCAGAGGATAAAAAACAATAGGGGGGGGGGAGCCAAGCATCCGGTTGTTGATGTTGTCTTCACAGCTATGTAAAAGCGTCTATGATGCGTCGTTTGAGTTTTGTGAACGTCTTTTGAGTTGTGTTAAAATTCCCCCCAGAGAATGTGCTCAAGACGTACCTTTTAACATCCATACCGGTCCCACTGACGGCGACGCCTTTCGTGGTCTCACGCCAGCTAGACAAAACTGTGTACCCGACAAGCGATACCACCCAACACAACGAAAAAACCTGCAGGTAAAACGGAGAGGGCAGAGATCAACCCGCACATCGGGCACTTATATGCTGGAAACGCAAATATTTCATTCTATGTATCGGCTTCAGATGAGGCTGAGCCGTGATCGAATCATCTCTGGTTTGTAGTTAATTAAGCGCATTCTGCATGCATGCACCTGGGGAAGGTCACAGCGAAACGACGGTCACTCATTCGGGAGAACTTTCGCCTCAGCAATACAATGCGATGTTGCGCTCTTCATGAAGTATATCGGAGAGCCGAGTCAAGCGCCCCAAATTCATTTGTCAGGTTCACCCCCACGTAAAAGGCCAATATATCGAGCGGGGACGCTTTCTGTCGCCCGATTACACTGACCCCAGCTAGAGGGCGAAACAGCTGGCAGAAAAAAACGGACTCTGAAGAGCAGTTTCGGTGGCGTGGCAACATGAACACCGCCCATTCATTGCCATGCATCGAGCTCTAGTTGGTATCCTCGAAACCTTCTATAGTCTAGAGGTCAGGTCAGGGGTTCGAATCCCGGCGTAAGCGAGCTTTTCTTGCAAAGTGAGTTTTTCTCTCGCTTCCGCTTCTGGCCTATTATAGTGGATAGCGCTAGTTCGTGTGTACACAGAGGGAAGAGAGTGCTGAACTCTTCTCGAATTAAAATCGGCAAAGTACCGCAGGAGGGGAGGGTAGAGAGGGGCTCTTCTGTGTGACCACGGGTTGGAGTAAACGGCACTAGTGCTGTGAGCGCTGATTTGAAGTGAAGACAAAACAAAAACAAAAAATCGAGCTCGCAAAAACTTATCCGACCGCCCTCCTGATCCACATAGCGGGAACTCACGATTTGTTTGCCGAAAGCATGGATCACGTCTTGGTCCCAAACCCAGAGTTTTTCATTTAAGCTCACGCACTACACACTGCGGTGTGTTGTGTGCTAACACGCAGGTTGTAGTTGTCGACCATGTATGTTCAGGTTCTTAATTCATGTGATGATTAACTCTGTGATGATGCTCTCTGCGCGCCGATATCCATGCGTGGGCGGGATATCACGCGTGCATGCAAATCGAGTCCGGACTGCGAAGAGCTAAGTGCCTCAAACCTTCCTAAAAACGTCTCAAAAGACGGGTTTAAAGCCACGCCGCCTGCCGCCCGAGCCAACACTCTACGCTTGCTCGCCAAGCGTGCCTTGCTAAAAAGCGCGAAATAACCTACCAAGCAATCATTCATTGTGTGACGTCAGAGAGACCTACACTACCATGTCGAAAAGTCTTCGCTGTGCTGCACGACTCTCAACATCCCCGGCATCACGGTTGGCGGCACGCCCAAAATTCAGTCATGTTTTGTCTTCGTGGACAACGCGTTCATTCGACCGTCAAAGTGGTGGAACGAAAATATGACGTCCATCATGTAAGTGGTAGAACGAAATACTGAGCCATCCCTCTGTTCATGCATCATGCCACTTCGACCAGAGTCAATTTTCATACGGCAACAACAAAGCCACCACCCTTTCGTCTGCAGCAGGACTAGTTTGAAAATCTCTATGCTCGCCAACCGAGACACATTGGCACCTGGTGGGGTTGCGGCCACAACCCAAGTGGACATGACATTCCTTCTACCCAAACTATGAACAACAACACAAAGGACGGGCTGGTGTAGCACCGTGTGTAAGGTTTACCATACGCTTACCAACAAGCTCGTAGAACGTGGTACTCTACTGTATTGCATCATGCCCCAGCGAAGAGGAGAGCATATGCTGCTGTTACCCGTAAGAAAACACTATTTCGCTGACTCCTGCGAGTTGCCAACGCCGCCTTTCTGATGCCACTGCACTCTCCACCTCTAAACACACATACCAAAGACGGACAGAAAACATACGGCACCGGCTAGAAAATCTTCAACGCTGGACGTGCGGTGCAACCGATGGGCGGGACAATCGAAAAATGCGGCAGAATCAACGTGCGGCCCAATTAGAGGGCCTTGGGGAGGTTTGCGATGTTTCCCTGTGGACTGTTTGGTCATGAGATTCCGCAGACCAGTATCCCGTGACGTGTGGCACGCAATTCGCAAGGGAAAAGCGAAACGTGCAAGGGCAGAAACGAGAGGGGGTGGGAGGAGGGGAGGGACGTGAGGGACAAGCAAAAAACAGAATGAGCAATGCGAAAGATGATGAAAGATCCCAAAGGCTGAGAACGTAGAGACGAAGTGCAGAAGCGCACATGCGACTGATAGGAAAACCCAACACAAGAGCTACAGGCACAAACCGCTCAAGTCCTGTTCTTGGGAAAAATAAAACGAAATGGTACGGGTATGCACAGAGCACAGTCGGTTCAAGTACCGGACTGCCCGACGGCCAATAACTACTTAATTCGATGGCGTCAACGCACCTCGGTGCTGCCCTCTTGACGGGAGCTGCCTTCTTGGGTGCGGGCTGTATTGGATGAATTCGGTGTATGGCGACCCGCGAAAGTTTCCCGTGAAGAGCGGTTACACCAGACGCCAGTCACCGGAACATCCATCAAAAAATGGATCGATCGGGGTTGGTCAGGAAAACCAAACCCGCCAAGGGTCCAACGAGGATCCATCAAATACCCATCAATCATCAAAGATTCAGGATATGTGGAAAATCCATCCATCCGAGTCGGGGAGCGATGCGTGGCGGTAAACCCAAGCCCCGTCGCGGACACGGCGCCCAGAGTAGCGTAGGTGACGTGAAGATCACGATGCGGCCGTGGTGAGTTGTGCGGACCACCATGACCATCACCGACCGTAGTCCATTGCCAAACAGAAAGCCATGGATGATCAGCGGATCGGTGCAAAAGAAAGGGGACATGCGAAGGGAGGTTTGTTGGGCGTGGCGTGCGAAAGACCACAGACAATGCGGGAGCTTTCAAGCACACCACACCGCGAGAGCGTTCTAGACGCAACCGTGGACTGAAGACAAGACGTCGGCCTCTTCGTAGCAATATCTTGTCTGAAACGGCTTCCAACACATATGTTGTGAAGAATGCTTCATTCAACACACGCCCCGTCAAAAAAATATCTTAAAGACTGTTTTCTAGAGATAGAGATGGATTCGTTGCGTCATACTGACAAAATATGAAAATCGAGCGAATGCCTACTATTACCCTGCCCAAACGCTTCTGAAAAACTTCAACAACTCCATGGAGTATCGTTCGTGCACACGAGCGCGGTACAGAATACCAACAAAGAATCTACAAAATCCTCCGGTAAGGAGTCCCATCCCTCACCCATACGCCTGCCTCGACCAGGTTCGGAAAGATTCACGCTCACGAAAAAACAAAATTGGGAAGCGTACAGCACTATGTAGTGCAGGGTATACGAGAGACGCTTGAGGACGCAAGCAACGTCAAGCTGCAGTGCCAAGAACCATTTCAACCCCTCCCGCTTCCATTACCTTGGGGGCAGCCTTCGCCTTGGGAGCCGCCTTGACCTTAGGCGCAGCCTTGACCTGAGGGGCAGCCTTGACCTTAGGAGCGGCCTTCGCCTTAGGAGCGGCCTTCGCCTTAGGAGCGGCCTTCGCCTTAGGAGCAGCCTTCGGCTTAGGAGCAGCCTTCGGCTTAGGAGCAGCCTTCATCGCCTTGGGAGCCGCCTTCATCGCCTTGGGTGCCTGTGTCATGCCATCCCGCATGTCGGTCGCGCGACGAGACAAGGCGTGTCAGAAGACGGTCCGGACGATGACATGGGTTAGGCAGGGTCTGCACAAGAGGACCAAGTTACGGTTTTAGTGATATTCACCAGGGAGGATTCCATGGTGGGAAGGGTTCGGGGATAGACAGGAGGGGAGATTAGCAACAGGGGTGTGTAGAGGGATCGAACGCGTCATCTCAGGTGGCCTCTTGTTAGTCAGGAGAGCCTCAGTTTTGTGGGGCGAGGGTCAACTCTGAGACACGCATGGCGACATGACATGCATGATTCAAAAACGTTTGGCGACATCTCACCCATCGCTCCGGCGTAAAAACTTTCACAAACGAAACTGACCAAAAAAACATCATACCGCTCGTCAGGAACAAAAAATACCACCCGAAACCCACACAATACATGAACGCCAAAACTACGCATACGACCCAAGAAGCAGCGGACTGGGGCGAAGGCAAGGATTCGATCGATGTTCTCGTTCCCGCACCTTGGTGGCCTTGACGGGAGAGGCAGCGACCGGGGCGGCGTCGCCTCCGCCCAGCTTGAGCAGACCCGCACCCTTCAGCGCCTTCACCACGCTCACGACCTGACGTTTCGACACACAATGGTGGGACAGTACCACAGGAGCGAGTCGAGACAGGTAGGTCAGCAGGGGACTTGCATACGGCAGTGTGCGCCGGAACCAACACAGAGGCAGGTTACAAGCAAGCATATAGGATGAAGTATGAAATTGGTGGAATTTCGGGGGATAGGGTAGGGTTTAGGGTCTACGAGACTCCTGCGAATTGGTGGAATTTCGGGGGATAGGGTAGGGTGTAGGGTCTACGAGACTCCTGCCTCTTTGATTCATTGATGGACTTAATTTCTTCGAGTAGGCAGTCCCAGTCGGCACGTCTCTCATGTGAGCAGGGAGCTTGAGGCTGCATTGGACTATTTAATCGAATGTAGCGCGCCACTCGCGAGGAAAAAAAAAAAACTCAATCGTTTCGCCTTCGAAAAATGTGAGCAAATGTCGCGGAACGCCTATGATCGGGAAATACAAGTAATATATATTCGCGATTTTCGATATATGCATACCCTAGTCAGTATAAATCGACGGCATTCGCCTGTGATGGTTCAACCTGGGACTTGTACATATTCATAGATGGCACTCGCCAAAACTTTACCGATTCATGCACTTGCTACCGCAGTAAACGCTACTCACGGCTGGGATGGCGAGCTTCGCTGGCTCGATAGCGATGAACCCGAAGAGGTTGATGAGCACATCCAAGTTGTCCGCGGCGAAGGAGAGGAGTCCGGCCTCCTCCACTTTTGTCGTCGTTGTCGATCGATCGAGCGTTTCGTTGTTGCCATCAGTCAACGAGAGAAAAAAAAACGGCGGGGGGTGGGGGGGCGGGGAGTTATCAGACAATGATTGTCGGTTGGCGAGAAAAAAAAAGGAGGTGTAGATATATATCAGCTTGCATCAATGATTATGATTGCATGCTGACGCCGGACGATGAATCAAAAGAGAAAAAATCGGGTTAAGTCTCGTCGTCGCCATCGGTCAGGGAGGGAAAACAAGAGAAGCGCTATCAGCTTCAAACACGGATTGCATGCTTCGACGACTGAACAAAAATGAGAGACAGAGTGTCGCTTGAAACAAGGTGGAAATAAGCCTGGAGAAAGAAATGTTTAGCAACGTACCCTCATCCATAGGTACAGGTTCGCACCATTTCCTAGTCTCAGCGGAAAAATCAATGTCTTGATTTGCGGGCCCGTTCTGCTGTGGTCAAGCTGCACTTGGGATAATGATGTGCTCCAGAGCGCAAACACGGCTTTCGAAGCCAAAAAAAAAATGAAAAAGAGAGAAAATACTGTTGCCGAGATGGACCGTCGCCCCGTCGCTAGCTACCATTCAAGTGACTCGCAAGCGGCATCATCAACATGCAAAAAAAAAAAACACTTACATTGAGGGAGCAGCTTCTCTGCCTCGCTGAGGGTGAGCCCGGCGTCCTCAAGCTCGGAGAGGAGTCCCGACTATTAATATTAATACATTAACACGGAAAGAAGAAAGAAATCAACGAAATTACAACATAGACCAATCAGCGGTGTAGCAAGCAATTAGACGACATAGCAGTGAGGCATATGGGCAGATCTAAATATCATACATCGGATCGAAAGACAAGCGGTGAAGACAACAAGTTTGATGCACCAGCAGACAGACAGACAGCCAGACTATTGTACGCGAGACGAGTCACTGAGACAGACGGCTTCATCCACCAGCGGACGAGTCAGACTAGATCGACAAAAACAGACGAAACAATTCATTGGGACGGCTTCATCCACCAGCGGACGAGTCAGACCAGATCGACAAAAACAGACGAAACAATCCATTGGGACGGGTAAGTCCACAGCCAGACAGCAGTCAGGATACGCAAGGCTAGGATATAGGATAGGACTCGCCCTTGTATCTCCATCTGACTGCCGAACGTATTCCCGCCCCCATCCGTCCCGACCTTACATATCAACGTGAAGACATACCAATGTGTGTGTGTGTGTGTGTGTGTGTTTTGTTTTGTATTGGTTGGGGTTTTGAGGGTATTTCTTAATATGCAGTTTTGGGGACGCAATAATATTACGGAACGAAGGAAGGTCTGACACTGGCGGGTGGGAACAACCACCGGTAGATATTCCTGTGTACGAAGGCCAAAGATCTGCAACTCACAGAACCCCCCACAAAAAGGTCTGACACTGGCGGGTGGGAACAACCACCGGTAGATATTCCTGTGTACGAAGGCCAAAGATCTGCAACTCACGGAACCCCCCACAAAAGGCTAAAAAAAAAACAGCGCATAACCCCATCCCTAAGCTGAGGCTAACAACGCGGAGAGCGATACCGATTCTTCTTCAAACCCCAAAAAACAAAAAACAGAAGCATCGACTTTCGAAAGCCCGAATCGTGCCCAATCTTGGGAAGGCTGAATGACCAGTGTCGGAAGGGAAAAAAAAAAGAGTCTGCACAAGCCGCACGCGGCAAATCAAAGGAGTCTGCATGACACTACAACCAAAAAGAGGTTGCGCAAACCGCACACTACAATCAATACAAAAAAAAAATGTGTGAATACCTTGGGGATCCCTGTAATTAGCGCCGGTATGTTCCCCGAAAATTCACCGGCACTATACCGGACCGGCACCATTTCAAAGTGCTGAGAGTCACTGGCGTGGAACTTCAGTGTGTGCCCGCCGAAAACACCGGGACTATGCCGGGCATCGGCGTTATTAGTTTTTTTTCAACTTGACCCAACGAATCCATCTCTATAAGAAAAGAGTCTTAAGATCATGATTCAACCGGCACCAAACAGGGACCCCCTCCGCAATGATCACACAATAAAAAAAGAAAAAAAAATGCCGTACCTCTGAGGTGGTGGTGAGGATCTTGGTGGCGCGAACGCGGTCGATGATCGGGTACACGCCCTGAAACAAGAGCGGTAAAAAAAAGTACAGGAGAACACAGCGGGGGCAAAAAGCCCGGAGTTACGTGAGGCATGCCAAGCATCAGCCAGGAAGAATAAAATCACCGAGAAGGAGGCAGCCAACAAAACGAGATCAACACCGTGAGCAGCAAGTAGACAGTTTTACCGATGACTGCCCATCTGGGAGACGCGGTCGGTAAACATGTAAAAAATAAAAAAACATCGTGGGCAAGGAGTGCAGGTGGTCCCGGTAAGTACAGCATGCGGGTGAACGCGGTCGTTTACGTACAAACCAAGGGGTCTGGTGTCTCTGGTGAATTCTAGCAGCAGGTTTGGTTGAGAACAAGTGGCTGAACAAACGCAACTGGATGGGTCCATGCGCTGCCCGGGTACAAGGCGAGTGCAAACGGCCAGAAAACAAAGACGAGCATCTACCACAAGAAAAAAAACACGAGAGAAGGGGTTGAGGCCAGCACGACCCCGGCCTTCCCACATGTCTACACAGCCTAATAGACAACGTCCAAGCCCTTCTCCCAAAGCGACCCTTCCCTCGGCGTTCTACGAAAGGCGTTCGCAACGCCATCATCGATCGCAAACATTCAAACAGCAGAGCGCCCACTTTATTGGATTTCTCTCGCAGAGATATCCTTCTACGAAGATAGTGGACTACCGCAATCAGGCTGTTGGTGGCATGCCGCCGACCCGACTATGCACACGAAACCGTATTGGGAAGAGGACAATATTGGCTGACGTGATAGTAAGGGGGCGACCTGCTGTACGATAGGTAATAACCTTGACATGAGTGCTTGCACCCAAACCACCGCGGTATCGGCGCTCAGTCTTACGGCCGCAACAACCACAGCGAAAAAAAAAAAAAAAAAAAAAAAAAAAAAAAAAAACAACAACAACAACAACAACAACATCAACAAAGACGACGACGACGACGACGACGACGGCAGTAATAGCAAGAACCCACGTTGATAAGGTTGTCCGCCTTGTAGCCGTCCACAAACCCGCGGTAGTCCTCCTCTCCCCAGAACCCTGACGAACCGAACCAGAACCCTCCGCCCGGGGGTGCCGGCGCGACCGACTGCTCCAACTCGTCGAAGGCTTCCAAGGCCGCGTTGCTTTCCGCCATTCGGATGGTAGACGACGACGACGACGATGACGACACGCGGGACAACGCACTTCCAGCAAAGCTGCGGGAGGGGGGGGGGGGGGGGGACGCGCACAGGGACAGCATGTTGAGCTATGTTGTAGTGGCAGGTTCGGTGGGAGTCTGGAGGGAAGTCTGGAACATTACAGCAGTAGCGGCGGCGATGGGGTTGGACAAAAAAAAACATGAACAGCGCCGAATTGGCCCCAACAAAGGGACCAGAGGTAAAAACGCCGCGACCCATGTACACCTCAGCTATAAATAGGAAGAAACATAGCAGCCCCACCATCGCGGGTTGTTGTCGTTGTTAATGTTTTCTTCTTCACACTGAAAAAAGTTGTCGGTGTTAAATGTTTTCTTCACAGTAAGAAAACGTTCCGGTCTCTGCTCTTCTGGCATCCGTACGCCGGTCCAACTGACGCGGATGTCTTCCGTGGGCGGGTACAGTAGTACGCGGATATACATGCATACCCCGCCAACGTCGTACTATCCTCCCTCGCAGTAGAGGGGGCTCAGCGAAGGTGGGGTACCTAGATAGGGTGGATACGCCGTTTTGGGGCGGGTGAATGTATATCTTGTCGCTTGACATAGATGGGAAAAACCATCAACGTCTTGTACGTTGCTTTGAACTTTGAACACGGCGGACGCCGGCTGAGTAGGGTGGGGGGCTCCGCCTGGCGCAGAACCCGCCCATTTTCATGGAGGGGCACCGACCGAAGCATTTTGGCAACACGGTCTTGACGCGCGGAGTTATCACGGCAACGCGGTCGTCGCCAACAAAGTACAACAAGGGACCTCTATGCATACTTGGAAGCACAAAGATACTGCTGTCAGCAAGGTAGTCCGGAGGTATGTAACGCACTTCAAAAAACGAATTAACGCGAAACGGCGGGAATACTGCAGGCAAGATAAAACCAGGCCGGCACTTTCTCTCTCCACACGACGCCGATGGGCCATCTCCCTCACTTACCGCACATGGACGCGACAAAAAAAATGCGCAGCACAGTGTGGGTGTGGCTAGGTGTTCGTCTCATCTATCATGGCGCCGGTCTACTGCTGTACACGCGTTGCGGTACTCCTATGCATACAAAATATTGCATGCCCTACGATCAAAAGGGTGTCACACACAAAACGCCAGACCAGTACCTAACACATATATCATCTGCACCTTCCCAACATAACATATATGAGACACACAAGACAGCTACCAAACTGTCTTGTTGAGCCTGTTACCCGCAGGGGAGATGTCCCTATATGCTGTCTGGGAAATCGTGGACATACAGGTACTTTCTGACGCTATGAATCCATTGCTAATCTGTCTCAGACTCTTTTCTATGATAGAGATGGTTTCGTTGTGTCATATCAAGAAAAAAAAAAAAAAAACATGTTTGGCGTATCAGCAGCAGCAGGGTTTGAGGTACAATCGTATAGGGCCGAGCTTTTTTTCTCTTGCATCGGGTTCAACTCAATTTGGGTTGGCTGCTGGCTGCGATCGACGACCGATGCGGCGCTAAACTTCTGGAATCAAACTCAGCACCACAGCCCCCAACCCCAAGCTACTAACGCGTAGCGTGTAGACATCAGGGGAACACGGGAGCATGCGCAGAAAGACCGCAGACAACGCTGGTACATCAGATAAAAGTGGACAACAGCAGCTGCGGTACTTCGGTCACCCTACTGCTGTGCTGAAGTCAAATACCACAGCAGCCGGCTGGGCGTGAACCGCTGAGGCCATACTCAAGCATGCTACCCGCAAGCCAGCACCCTGGCGAGGATGAATCAACAATAAAAGTCTTGGAAAGCAGCTGTTACACAACCATCGACCGATGCTGCTGTGCCTGGATGTGACCCTACCCGAAGGACGGCGGTCAATCTGCCGAATCTCAAAACACAACTTTTTTGAGGAGATCGGTGTCATGAATGACATCACCATTGCCCTCACCCGGACGGAGTCACGAAGGCCTCCGCGGCTACCGCCATCGCAATAAAAGCCAGACCAGTCTTCATTCTGCAGCGCAGCAGCAGGACACCGCCACCGCCGTTGCCGCCGCCATAGACACGCCGGCATTCGTTCATCGGGACGCGGCAGCAGCAGCGAGAGGAAGAAACGATCGATAGAGGATGACAGAGGCAGCAAGCACGGAGTGTCGTACGAAAAAGAGGGTCAAGCAAAAGCGCGGAGAGAGAGACAGAGGACCAGCCAAAGCCGATGTACAAAAGACCAGAGGAATGAAACAGCAGCTAGCTAGGATCGGATACCGCCACCATTGTACCTACGCGTACGCCGCCAGCGGCGTACACCGGCAGCATCCCGAGCCTGCCTTCTGAGTGGGTTGGCCCCAAGACCTTGGCCAAAAACACCACGCACGCACTTGCTTCTTCGATCCCACATCCCACATGAGATTATCTCTACATAACATGAATGCGCTCAAAATCGCGACACACAACAGGCTGCGACAACCGTTAACAGGTCGGACGAACACACCTGATGCGATGGGTAGAACGAAGGCTACGGGAGGGAGGGAAAGGTGTCGTGCGAGGGAACCTTGTGTGAAGCTATCGAAACATGAGCGAGCGTTGAGCCGATCCGGCGCTCGGAACAAGGACCTCATACCAATTTCGGAGGCGTGCCGTTTGGGGGGGGGATAGGGGACGCAAGTTTTCTCGATTTTTTCTTGCTCTTTCGTGTGCACGGGGGGTGGGGATATCGACCTCGTTCAGTGTTCTGTGCAGACGATACGCTACGGCGGGGTGAAGGATTCCTCCGTGAGGTGTGCTTGTCCGAGTTTACACCCCCCCCCCCCCCCCCTTTCCTTGACAACAATGTCGGCGTTCGGGATCTGCAAGTTACTGAAGCAACCGACAACGCCGAGCTCGCGGATCTTTAGACTATATTGCTGGTAGTACGGCAGGACAGCATCTATCTGCATGCTTACGTTGCACCTAGAGAAAGACCAAGGAAACCCCTCTTCTTGTGAGGAATTCGTTAGCGGTGCATCTCCTACTACCGCCATGCGCAACCCGTATTCGCATTTCCTTGGTTAGACATCTTTCGTCGGCGGGGGGATCCATGAATGAATGAATGTGGTGTGTAGTCTCAAGAGTGTCGCCTCTCTCCGTAGGTGTATTTGCTCCGACGGGAGGCAGGCAAGGACACACTCACTCTTGAGTCCCACCTGAGGCTGGCGTCAACCAATCATCGCTGCCAGGACCCCTATACAGATCTCGATGAGACGCACTCCTAAAAGAGATTTGCTGCAACTTGATGTTGCGTACCATTGGTTTTTCTTCGTACATACGATATCTGTAGTAAAAATACCTCACGGGACATCTCAGATGTACAGCCAGTCATCGTAAATACGCCCTTCATCGATTCCTTGTTCTGTTACGCCTTAAACTGATGGATTTGCGGCTGTGGCGGGTTCATGAAAAGACTTTCGACCGTTGTTCTTGTTACTGATGCACATGGAACTCCTAGAAAGCGGATTGGAAAAGGATCTGCGAACAAGATCTACGAAAAAACGAGAACTAACCCCAGGGTAGGCGAACAGCAGTGTTTCGGAACCAAATTCGCACCCAGCCGCATCCTTGGGCACATACCAAACTGCAACAACCACAAGAACAAATGCTTTCACACCAACGTTTACATTCTCAGGCAGCCTAACCGATGAAGGACGCTACCAAACTATCGGACCCATGTGTGCGTATCGTGTACCATTGCCGCGACCTACAATCAATGTGAGTGATACCAGCGCATCACAAAGGGGGGTCTGTGAGTCAACCACCATCTCCCTAGTAGCTAATCGCTTCCCTTGGTTCGTTCGCCCAGCTCCGCTGCGTCACTACGATAACTTGACTCGCACCCTCCGCACCTCCCTCGACAGGCCCCATCGTGCTACAAGCAGGCTGGCTGAGAGCTCGAAACATGGAAGAAAACTCGTCAGCTTCTGTCTCCTTTCCGTTGGAGACCTCATCTACTGATGCTTTCCTTGACTTATTGCTGCTGCTTCTGCCAAACACCGCACTCAAAACGCCCCCCATCCTCTCGACCGTCACCGGCTGTTCGACGCGGTCGAATCTCGCGATCTCCAGTCGGGAAACCTTCCCGTCTTGGTCGTAGAACGTCCCCACCATCGCGTCCGCCTCGCTGATTGGCTCGTTGCCACGAGCTCCGAACCCTTCGTCGTCATCGCCGTCACCAACAGGGTCTTCTCGTGGGGCCCCCGCCCTAACGAAACACCTGCAGATGAAGACCAAAACCTGCTGCACCAATCCTAGCGACAGAGCGATGCCCCCGACCCGCACCCACCAGGTGACCCAAAGCTCTTCCGGGGTCCGCTGGCCCGACCAACGAGAAATTCGGGTCGATGCCTCCTCCCACCAAAACCGGGTTGAGTTCTGCTCAAACCAGCTCGACAACTCCGACAAGCCTTGCGAAAACCACGCCGGCGAGTTCACCAACAACGCGCTCTCTTGCACGTATCGACCTGCCTTGTTCATTGCCAAGCGGAGCACGTCGCCCGCAGCAACGCCCGTCTCCCACAAGTCCGCGCCTAGCCAACCGAGCTTGCTACACGAGGACAGGAGCAGAGCTGTCAGAGCCACCCTTGCATGTGCCAACGTCTCTCCTGCTAAACCTGCCACATACGGGACGTCTAGAGCCGAGAGCGCTGCTTGCGCTACAGCACCATCATCATCGTCTTCTTCGATCGAGCCGCTGCTATCGGAGGCGGGAGGATCGCTGTTCCCCTTGCTCTTGGCCTCGGCACGCGCGCACGGCGATCGGTCGTTCTCTCGAGCAGAGGCCTGGCTCCACAGAGCTTCCGGCGCGTGGCTTCTTCCCCCCTCTAGAAGGTCGATGTGCACCTGCACCCTGCCCGACTCGACGCCCCTGCCGCCGCCATTACTGCCGAGGCCGTCCGGGAAGACTCGCACCGCGGCGGGGTAGTCACCCCCTTCGGAGTAGGCCGCCAGGACGAGCACGAGCCCACTCTCTGGCGTGACGAAGGCGAACGACCCCTCGGGTCCTTCGGTCCGCTGCAGCTGCGAGAACCTCGCCTCGGCCCCGTGCCAATCCCGCCAGGTGCCGCTCTCGACGGCAACGGTAGCGGCGGTCGCAGCCGCGCCGCCCGTGCTTGTCCGGAGAGCGGCAGCGTCGGCGGCGTCGTACCCGCGGAGCTCCACGCACAGGTTCGGGACCGCGACGACCCCGAAGTGGACGGATCTGCGGCAGCAGGGCGTCAGAGGCACGATGGCGAGAAAAGTTAACGGCCCGTCGTCGCATGGCGTCCTATCGGTTGAAATAGATGTCCCAACGGATCAATCCCTCAAGGGGCGGGGAGGGGGGGGGGGCGATTATGCGGGGTGTAGGGTATTTCACGTGAAAAATTGAGCAGTTTCGCGAGAAAGAGCTCGACTGAAGACAGCTGGTTCATGCGGCGCAACCCTGGTTGTGGCGCTCCTTGAGAGATATTTCGTGTATGGCTCCGCACAATCAAATATTTAGCATAGAATCGCGGTCACGTTCATGGACTCGACACACAGCCAGACACTGCCTCAGTTCAGGTATCTCGAGCAAGCCTTCGCTTCTATGATGCCCCCACAAGGCACAGGATGCACCTCACACCAGCAAGAACTGTTTGGAGAGCAGTAGACCTGCTGCTATAGTCAGCTTATATGGTATGAAAACAGCGCTGCCACAACGGGGTTACCACTACATATTGTAGTTGCTCTAAGGACTGCTCGATGCACCCGGGCCGTCTCGCAAACCTCTCCTCGCGTGTGAGAACCTCTCCCGCCATGTACTGTACCGCTACAACTTGGAGCCCATTTTCAACCCTTCTTTCGGTCTGTTTTTAGCGGCTTTGAAGCACGTTTCCTTCATGCCATCGCTCTTCAACATATGTAGGAGGAGGATACGATTGAGCCCTGCCCCACGGCCGATATCTTGTTTGCAAGTCTTCCGATGTTGTTACAGTAGTAGTGCCTCGTGTCGACCCCACGGAGATGACGCCACGCTCTACAGTACACTGAAAGAGGGCAGTCCACTACAACGAGATCTCTCAGAATACAGTTTACAATAAAAAGGTAAACCTCGGAGAATCTCCGCAAAACAGGGGATGGATGGATGGGTGCTTTGGGCGGCTTCTGCTGTGGGCTATCTTTAGTGTTCGGCACGCGCTAAATACTACTGACTGCATGGTAGCTCTTTGTAGAACGTTGCTCGCTGCGCGAGCTCTTTAGACTGCAGCTATTAAGGCCACACTGGGGATCGCAGTACTTCCTCTTAAAAAAAACAGGAAACGCCTGGAAACGCCTGCATATCTCGGTTTTCCAAAGTCTAACTTCAGTACGAAACTTCCATCGCAAATTAACCGTCCGCCGACCCCCCCTCGTGTTCAACGTTAGTAGCTGAGGTTGTAGCCCTTGCGATACACTACAGACTAGCAGTCCGCGATTTTCCAAACGATCCTTCTATCATCGAGTTCGGGGAGCTTCAAGCTAGATTCTTGAAGCTGCTGTGCGGTCCAAATATGAAACGCTTCAAGCACACGGTGAACACGAATCACCGCCTATGTGAGTGTATGGGGCCGCGAACTTCAGCACAGCTCGTCTCTCACATATCCAGCTGGTCGCCATTGTCGATTTGAATGCCTGGGGTCATGTATATGCATGTCTAGCCTTTAAGTAAAGGTGCTTGAAGCGTTTCAAAATCGGACCGCACAGCAGCTTCAAAAATCTAGCTTGTAGCTCACCGAACTCGATGATAGAAGGATCGTTTGGAAAATCGCGGACCGCTAGTCTGTAGTGTATCGCAAGGGCTACAACCTCAGCTACTAACATTGTACACGAGGGGGGGTCGGCGGACGGTTAATATGCGATGGAAGTTTCGTACTGAAGTTAGACTTTGGAAAACCGAGATATGCAGGCGTTTCCTGGATTTTTCAGAGGAGGTAGTGCGATCCCCAGTGCGCCCTTAAGGTGTTGTGTCGTGTTTTTCATCTGCTCTTCTCTGTTTCCAATCAGATGGTCTAGCACGGTGCCCTCTTTTAACGTCAGGAGGGGGGGGGGGCAACGTTCATTGCATTGTTGATGCATGGTCGACAGCATCAGTATTTAGCTGTAACACCCAGTCGGCAGCAGTGGTACCTGTCGTACCGTCTAACACACGGCAGGAGCATTATCGTGACATCGCGCACGAATGACCGAAGCAGAGTACAGAAAGAGTAGGGGGAGAATGTGCAAGAGACGCAACAGCTTCCTAGCAGTGTAGAGCACAGCAGCACCGGAGGTGTGCGGTTGCATATCTACAGCAGGACAGCGAATGCGGTGTACACGCAAGTAAGCTCAGCCTTAAATTTATCATGCAACCCTGATTTCATGCCTGACAGCCTCTTTTCAGATCGGGGTTGCCTGAAAGGGTGTTTGGTGCCTGAGATGCCTGACTTTCGCCAGGCAACGCAGCAAACCGCCAAAACACGTGTCAGGCATCATAAAATAAACGCCAACTCTCATAAGTAGGTATGTAGGGGGCCGAGGGGGGCCCGTGAGACACACAGAGGGGGAACAAATCAAGCACGGACCCCCTCCCAATTTGAAAACACGCGCGCACGAGCAGCAGCACAGGGCACAGGGCCAGGAGCCAGGAGCCAGCACACACGCTGTAGTCGCTGTAGACCTGCAGAGTGTAGAGTGTAGAGTGCCGACTGCCGCGGTGGGATACCGCTACAAGGAGTTGTATCATGCCACCGAACCGCTCCCATGAGTACTCGCGCAAGTCCTCGATCCAAGTCATGCAGAGGTTGCGCATTTCTTGCTTCTTGAGCTCCACGGCAACTCCCTCGA